AGTATTAAAGATACACTGGTCCAGAGAGCAGAGAACAACAGGTTTTCCCATGCAGAGGAAAAGATACCTGGAAACTGGTCCATGCTGCTTTGGAATATTTATATTTGGCTAAAGTTATCTTTCTTATTTGCCCTAATTCTATGACTGACTTTGTATTGCAGTAGGTTTAAACTTTTTTTTTTTTTTTTAAATTGTGAGGGATGGGAGAAGATCTAAAGGAATTTTTTATTTATCTGAAAATTTCATTTGGTTCTACTGTCATGTAACTTGAGGATGCTGTGAAGCCCAAGGGACTGGTTTACATCAGTCTTGTTTGGTCTGCATTAGACAACTGCTAGCTGCATTTTTAATTGAGGCGTTAGAAGCTTCTGCTAGTTAAAGTGACTGTCCTTCATCCCAGTTGATCATTAGTAGTACTGGTATCCACTTCCGCAGCTGCTGTAGTGATCAGACTTGTTTGCCTGAATCTAAGATGTGAATATAAGACAGGCTGAAAGTTACAACAGATAGCTTGCATTAAATTTGCTAATATCAGTGAGATCTGTGTTTTCTTTTCTTTTTTCCTCTCAAAACTTTATGTAAGAGAGTAACTGCTATTTTAAGGGAAAGAAAACATTAATTATTTGTGGGTCAGAAAGTGGGTTCCTTTCTGACTTTTACTTTTTAGTGTAAAATACTAAATTTTATACTGATTGTCTATGTGGAGATTGCTTGATTCTGAAATGTCTGCAGAAAAGTGACAACTTATGTTTAAAGGCTGTTATTGGAAGTTTATATGAATATATTTTTGTGTGCAGGTATGTGTAAATGAATAAAGACCTCTGAATGCATCCTGGTATGTAACCTTAATTTTTAGCTATGTGCTAATACAGTTTTGATAGCCTGACAGAAAAATTCCATTTAAACTTGTAAGCAGGATTCTGTTCTATAGGACTTATCTATAAATTCTTTTGAAATATCTGCCTCCTGACAATACCAATTCTTATTTTTTTTTTTTTTTTTGCAGTTGTTACATGCTTTACCCTTTTGTAATTTTGTCATCAGTGCAGGTCAGAGGTGAAAGGCTCAGTTGCTTTGATGCACTTGTTAATATCAGAGGGAAGCGGAGTGAATCCTTTGCAGTAATTTTGGGTTACAGACGGCTTTGTACGTTATATGGGGATATATCCAGGACTGCGCTGCATCTGAGTGCAGTAATGGAATATTATCGGGTCCAACCTCTTTTAATAAAACCACGTTATTTTGTTGTCTTCTTAAATAAACTTGTAATGAGAACAAATGAGGTGGTAGAGTAATACTTATTCTTCATCAGTTTCTTATTAAGGAAATTAAAGTAATATAGATGCTGATGATAATATATATAAGTGACTCTTGAGGACACTGGAGGTATAGAGTAGAGGTGAGATGTCTGTAGTCTATAGGAAGCATGTTAATATGTGAGAAAACATTTATGAGGGTGTAAAATCTCACCAGTTAGATAGTAAAGCGAGCATAATATATACAATGTATGTAACTTTTCTGTATTATTTTTGAGGACAGTGAAACTCATTCCTAGATCTCAAGACTATTGTCCATAGGACTGTATCTATTCATACGTTGTACATTCATAGCCAATGTATCTTTTTGACAAATAATTTGGAGTCCAAACTACCAACTTCTAAGAATTTTATGTCCACATTTTTTTTTTTTTTTTAATTCAGTATAGATTTTGGCCTAAAGATCATATAGTGGCTACAGTACATCTTCTCTAAAGATGGTTTTATGCTGAGTAAAAAAGAATTAGAATTACTTGTTCATGATAAAAGAAAGTGTTATTTATGCAGGGAAACTTATTATTATGTTTTCTTCAATTCAAGAATCTTGCAAAAATTTGACATTCTTCAAGTGATGGCAACAAGGCAGAGTGACTATATATAAGCTGCCAGTAAACTGACAGTACATGAGTACACAGTGTTGCCTTGTAATTGTGTTACAGAGGGGGTTGTACTGCTGTTTTTCATTCTCTCAATGCTTACGTCACCACGGTTGGGCCATTGGTTCCTTTTATCTTGATTTCCTTCATGGTCACCAAGATCTTACTGGTACTGTTCATAAAGTATGTACTGAGGGGAGAGTGTTGGGTGACTAAAAATTAACTTGCATCCCTTGGCTTCTCTGAACTGGAATTAGTAGGGTTTCAAACTGTATGCAGAAAGGTGGGCACATCTCTTTCTGTAATTACTTTGCTTCAAGAACTGCGGATTATATTTCTGTAACTTAAATCATTTACTAATGGCTTACCCACCACACAGCTCTCTCTTCTGACACATCATTTTCACCTGCTCCAGGTCAACAGTTCTCTTCTGTTACTGTCTTCCCCCTGAGGCTGGAACCCCATCTAGCTGCTTTGCACAGCAGCTTCATACTTCACCGAGCAGGTGTCACGCCGTCCTTCGGCTGAGTCATGGCACCCAAACAATGACTCTTTGGGTGGCAGTTTACCCAAATTAGTGTTGTTTAAATAGAATATCATAGGCTGATCACCATGGGGAACTGGTGGAAGTTACCATATTTTCTAACAAAGGACTATGTGTGTATGTGCAATCACTTTATTTACAACTTTGAAGTACTTTGGGACTCTGGGCGCTAAAAACACATTGTAAATGGAAATCAATAGTTTTGTTGTTTCTGCAGGATGTGCTCTGATGTTGTGCTGCTGTTTCTGAGATCATAGTTGTATTAACACCTACACAAAAGCTTTACGTTTTATAATTCTGTATAGTAAATTTGAAAAAGCAAAGAGGGAACACGGAAGTGTGGGACAGAAAATCGATCCCAACACTACCTCTGCTGATAACTTTTACGGTGTGCTTTTGGATACGTCTCAGATCTTCCAACCGCTTTACCATGAAGCACTGGTGCTCTCCATATTTCTACATATAGCAGTATGAGGCTTGATTGTTTTGTGACTTGATTTAGCACTCAGCCTGGGAAGATCCACATTCAGCATATGTTCAGTGAGGGCAGTTGCATGTTAATTTGGTCTCCACATGGCGAAGAAATGTAATTAGTGAAACAGTGAAGCAGAATGAGAGCCTGGACTTACTTAATGGTAAATTAAACCCCTTGCTTTGGACTAGGTGTTTTTTTTTTGTTATATACTTTTTGATGGCATAGGTTTACTGTGGGGGGAAAAGGAGCCACAAGCCTTCATTTTAAAAAGAACTAAGCATACCACACCCTTTAAGATCTTTATTCTGGCTAAAACAGACATAGAGAGGATTAAAGAGTTTACTGGTTAACTTAGAAATCTCTGACTTGAATCTCAAGTTCAGATGATTTAAAATGCAGAATTATTGGCACAGTATCAAAAGGCAGGTTGACTTTGAAAAACTTAACTAGACATGGAAACACACATTTCAGGAAACCTCCATTTTAATACCTCAAACCCACTAATCTTCTATCAGTGTTTTTATCAAAGAGGTAAGTGATTATCATGACAAAGCTGAGCCAGGTTTAGGGATTCTTAATCTGGTTGTTCCTCAGAGGAAGGAAAAGAGTTTGTCTGTAGCTTTAAAACTTTCTGTTAAACTAATAAGGAATTTCCTTTACATTATATTATAGTTTTTGATTAACAGTTAAACTTTACCAGTCTGGTATATTATATTTCTTGTCTTTGAATACTGCTAGAATAAATTTTTGTATTGCAGCTGTCTCGATAAACAGAAGCTTGTCTTTTTTTCCCGATTTATATTAAAAATTCAGGAAAATCTCCTTGTGTACATTGAAACTTTTTAACCTTACATTCAAACTAATTTTGAAATATCAGAGAGTAAAGATGGAATAAGCATGTAAAATATAACTAAAAATGTGTAAAGGAACTGTGTAAATGGCAATAGACTTCATTTTATTCTTTGCAAATCTATTTCATGACTATGGATATATATGTATACAAAATATATATAATAAATATATAGATACAAAAATGTCCACATGTACACACATGTGTCTTGCAGCATCTGTAAACTCCTAGATTATGATTCTTTGTTAATGCATTTGATAAACCCTTATATTAGTGTGTCAATATACCTTAGTTTAAACCAGTGACGTAAAACGGATGGCAGCGTGAACCAGATCCCAATTTATCTCTGGCTAGACTCTTGTAAGCTCTGTTAACTCAGACTGAAAAATAGAAGTAGTGGAATAGTGAATCAACAGTATTTTAAATCCTTCCCACGTGGCTTTGTAAGAAAATCCAGGCTGTATATAATGCCATTATTTCTTGTTGGAATTCCAAGTGCAACTGTATACAGTTAAAAATGAAGTTGATTTATTTCAAGGCCTGGGTAATACCTTTTTTTTTTTTTTTCCTTTGGTCAACATACTCAAACACTGTTAGCAATTGCTCCGGTTTGGCGTGGGTTTTTTTCTGCTTTCATTCCTGTATTACTTATACAGTGCTAAGAATTTGGCTTCTGATCTAACTATTTCTTTAAGATTTTTAATCTAAATCAGTTTTGTTTGCATTCTTAATATTTATCAAGAATAATAAAATTTTTAAAGAAGTGTAAGTGTTAAGAATTTCCTTTCTTCATATCCATTTTTGAAATATAGCACCTGGGACATTCTTCTATTGTTTTACATTTTAGGAGGTGGGGGGAGATGGTGAAACACTTTTCCTGGGCATTTTGTAAATGAGAGAACAGAAGCATTTGCGTGGGAGAAGCTCATGTAAATGACATTTTTAGAGTGCGTGTGACTACTGTAATGACACCTGTGTGTGTGTGTTTATTTGGTTTATCCTGCTGCACTTGCTTCTGGTGATGTCTCGGGAAAAGACAAGCACAGCAAAGGGTTAACTTTTTACTATCAACCTCAGAAAAGCACATTTGCAATCCCTCCCAGTCTTGTCTTCCTTTTTACACCTCATTCGCTCACCGCTGCTCTTCACTTCAAGGCAGATCCTTTGACCTAAGCAGATTATTGTAGACGCATGAAGGACACAGCAAGCTATCCGTGTTTTTAAAGGAGGAGATTTTGGCTCCAAAATAGAACACTAAGCTTTTCAGCCTTATGCTGCTTTACCTAGTCAGCACGAGGCAGTGTCTCCGGGTGCTTAGTGGACTCCTGTGGAATCAGATGGGAAACAAAAGCAGAAGTGGCAGCCGCTGCAAATGTGGGAGCCTCTGCCATTAGAGGAAAGCAATTGCTAATAAGGGCCTGCGAGACCCCGGTTTCCTTGGTTTCCATGACAGTTATTAGGTAACACAGAAATTGAATTGTATCCCACGATGCTTTTGGGGGGCAGGGGGACAAGGGGGTGCTCCAGGAACACAGCAGAGGACTTATGACTTGCAGCAACTCATCGCTCTAAGCATGTGAAACTCTGGATTATTGTGACTTACCTCTTTGTTTGCTGTTTCTCGTTTGTGTTTGCAATTTGCTCTGCTTTACTTTTTTTTTTTTTTTTTTTTTTTTTTTTTTGATGGAAGACCCTGGCGTATGATACACGGTTTCTCAAATACTATTTTCCCCTTTTTATTTAGAGCTGAGCTTGGCAAAGCAAGGATATGAACAATTATACAGGTGGGCTACTCGGGGGGAGTGAAGATATAAGTCATCCAAACAGGTTTTGGCAACCTGCAGCACTATAAAAATGCCCCTCCAACAGATTTCTGTAGTTCCAGCGCGGGAGACTGCCAGCAATGGGAGAAGTTCAATGGGCAGAAACAAAGAGAAGAGCAAGGAAGTCGAGGTAAGAGGAAGCTTTCAATGTGGATGTGGATCCTACCAAAGTAGGATGAGTCTGCCTTTGTAGCCAGTGGGTTTGGCTGCTCAGCAGGATGCGGCGTGCCATAGTGTTGCACAGTACACAGGGGTGCAGCATGCTTTAGCACACTGGAGCAAGCTCCTGGGATAAGATCTTAGCATTACAGAAAAAAAGGAGGATAAGTGAAGGGGAAAAAAAAAAAAAAAAAAAAAAAAAAAAAAGAAGGAAGTTGCAAACTGCTTTAGGAGGTTTTAACATTTTTATTTAAATGCATGCAGTGGGCTAGTACTGACAGTCATTGTTCTTTATAAGCTCTCAAGTAGTAATTTCTTTATAGTAATTGGGATGAAAAAGTAGTTTTAATAAGATTCCTATCTGTTTAAAAAACAGAAAAATACCATACTTAAGTCTGTCTTTCTAATAGGTGTGTGTTATTCATAGCAAATGTAGTCATGAGCTCTGTAACTTACTCTTTATCATTAAAAAGCCATCAGTGTTTAGTTTTGTATCCCTTGACTGACTTCCTTTGATTCGTAAACATACAAAACCGTTGTTCCATCAGTAAATGTCTTATGTTGTTTTCCAGTTAAGAAGAAACTGTAGGTTTATATTATTTTGCTTGTTAGAACAAAAAATACAGAAAATCTTTGAAATTTTAATGGCATTTTTACCTGTAGGAATTTCTTTTGCTATGTATAGTTTAAACATGTATTGTGCAAGACCACAAAAAAAAGAGGCATCCTTTCCCATGCCAAAGCTTAAGTAGTTGGTTTGTAGATGTAGCAGTAAATACACATAACAGACATCTGCTTTTTACAGACATGTTTCTTGTCTCTCTGTTTTTCTGTTTCCTCTTGCTATATGGAAACTAAGGAACCATTGGGAAAATAAACATGATGTCTTTTAGGTATTATCTGGGAGACTGTGTGACAAACATCATCCATGAAAGAAGTAGTATTTTAACTTTGTGGTTTGTGTGACATAGCTTTCAGGAAATTGTTAAATTCAACAGATTATTTATACTCATAACATGTCTGTGTGTTTGTGGAGAAGTATTAGTAAGCTTGCAGGCTTTTTTTTTTTTTTTTTTCTTGATGCCTTTTTGGCTCGGTATTTGGCTTTGACAAGTTCACTGAATAGGATTACTCTGTTTTTTGTTTGAGCACCTATGCATAAGCAGTGTCCTTTACTGGAAGTAGTATCCAATTGCTTACTGGTAGCCCTGTTGTCACAGTTCCTAATGTCTGAAATGGAAACCTTGATTTGGTTTGTTTTTATTTTTCCATTGATTGGTTAAAGATGAAGGTTCAGGTGGAAACCATTCTAAGACTCAAGATGTGAAAAGCAGAAGTATATAAAGTTACCTAGCTTAAAACTGCACTCTGCCATTCTTGTTTTAATTTGATCATTACGGTTAACTGAAGAATACATGCAATACCTTCACAGAGGGGTCAGATAAGTGTGATTGATAGTTAATTTAGGGGGTGGGGGGAGTGTGGAGATTCTGAATTGTAAGAATTGTCTTATGTGCTTTTCCAGGGTTTTTCCTGTGAGGGCCAGGTTGCATCATTTCAGCAAGATTCTAGTATCTCAGAAAACAAAGTCTTTTCTTGAAAGCTGTGGGAGTTTTACAGCAGAAAAGATCAAAATGGCCAGGATAATTAAGCTCATGGAAGTTCTCTTCTAAAACAAATATAAAAAAACAAAACAACCAACCCCACAACATTCCCAACCATTCTGCTCATTCAAATGTATTTCCTTAACTGCTCTCTCCTGGGAGGAGCCTAATCATCCTGCTCGAATATCTGCTCATCCCATAACAGTTATGGCTGTGATTTATACAGCATAAAACCTCCCTAGTGCTATTGATAGAGATCATAGATCAGGTGGTAAGGACCGATGTTTTTCACATAATATCTACAGTTTATGTAAATTATCATGATGTTCAAGTTTGTTCGGTGGATGTGACTTGGGAGTAGCGAACTTCTTATTGTCCAAACAGAGGCTGCTCAGACTTATGTAGATGGTCTTCTACCCCTGCAATTCCTACACTGCATGGTCCTCACAAAGGGCAAGTTACTTGCTTGTACTCAGTTGTTTCTGTCTGTGTTGGTGAGAGTCTTCTGGGTTCGAAGTATCCACTGGTACTGTTTCTGCAAGTACCTGCTCCCTCTGCCTTTCCATTAGCAGGCATTTTGAGATGGAGCTAAATACATTAGTTAAATGGGCTTCCTTAGAGCAGTGAGAGCATCAAACTGTTTCAGGTTCAGGAAGACATGAAAAAATTAAATGTCTGAAAGGTCTTCCAATTGCTAGGAGAACAATTGTAAGGTTTGTATGCCAAAGTCTGTTATTGCTAGAGAATTTTATACAATGTCCTTACAACAGCATGAGAAGAAAATTTATGAAGAAGAGTTCATCTTCTGTCTAATTGCAGTTCACACTGAATTACACAGATCTGGCTCACTTAAGAACCTCAGTTGCATATGACTCGTGATGCAACTCATTCCGTAATGCTTTTCTGTGATTATAGATGCTTGCAGACATGCCTTATCTGAAGGTTTTAATATGTGCTTATGCACACTTACAGATGATTGCCAAATATTGATCTATTTTTAAGAACACTATTAAGTGTAGTATTAATTATGAGCCACAAGTGCCCATAATGGATATCTGACCAATATTAGAAGTTGAGGTGTGACATCAATGGCTAGAGGGTGCTTTTCAAGGCAATCTTCCTATGCAATATCCTCTGCAGGAGCAAAAACTCTAGTGCAGTCTATTCCTGTCATTTTTTGGGTGATTTGCCTCAATAATTAGCAGAAGTTGTCTCTAACAATAGATTTTTCATCAAATTTAACTGTAGAGCTTCTCTGAGTGTAGTGAAAAGGTGAGGTAGTTTATTTTAGGTGTTGTATAACCTGTTGAAACAGCACTGCACTACATTTCCGTATGCATGTCTGATCTTCTGCTAGTTTGTTTCACTGATCTTAGGAAGGCTTAACAGTCATCAGTGCTACTTATTTTGCCCCAAACGTTTAAGTGAGCAAGCTGTCTTTCTTACTCTTTTAGTAATGCTGTTGGAAACAATTGTTGGAGAAACAAAGACCAAAGTATAAAGTGCTGGGTGCATTCACAATATGATGTGGACTTTTTGTTATTCAGTAATTAATTCAGCTTTTTTCAATATTTGAGAAAAATCATAACTTTACAGTGAAATGTGTAATTGTGTTTCTGTGATGGAGAAAAACACTTGGGTGTCTGTTTTCAGAAGAGTTTTTTAATAGAACTGTTGTTCAAAGTGAATTAAGTCAGTAACCTAAAAATCAACTTATGTCATCAGGGCTCCAAATCTGTTAAGTTTTTGAAAACATAGGCTGCAGTGCCTTGAGACCAGTGCCATATTAACATATATTCCCCTTTTTATATGTATATAATATTTAAACAGTTATGCTGGACTTCTGATTTATTTTTCTCTACTGTGATAAAAAAAGCTGAAGAAATATATGATTCATGAAGAATATGGTTGATGAAATGCCTGCTCTGGCTGATAATTTTATTGTTTATTTGTGAACATACATTGTGAAGTTCATAAAGTAGCTTCTGTTTACATTGTCTTGTGTCCAGGCATGGTTTATTAGTCTAAAGTGAGTTAAGTACAGAATGAAATTTTCATACAGTAGAGAAAATTGGACAGGGCAACCAACTGAAGCTTAACAAAAACTCTAACCTAGAATTCATGAGGTTCATACAGTAAACTGCCTTGACTACTGTGGAATATCAAACTTGAATGTTGTATACTCAGAGTGGTAGGAGTAAGTTTATAAAAGCCAACAATAAATGTCCTGATATGGCAGAGAAGATTCTTCTTGCTGTCAAACTAAATTTGTAGACACTGTACCTTTTCAGCTCAACCATTATATTTCAAAATGTGATACTGGAAAATTTGCATGCTGTTTTTTAAAAAAATTAGCATAATGAACTCTTGTCCGTGAGAAGCAAAAATTAGGTCTGTATCTGAGTGTAATAATTTCAGAGTACAAGATATCTTAATAAAGAAGGCAGTGATATATATGATTCAATTGTGATTTGGTTACCTTGCAAGAATTTTATTTAAAAGAAAATAATAGAAAGGCCTCTGGAACCGTAATATGGCTTTTGGGCACATTCATACGGTAGTATGACTTGCTTGTTACAGTGATGAGTCTTATGTCCGTTGACTCAAAACCAAACCCAATATCCTAAAGACATTAAAAATTTTTTATTCTCTAGTTACTATAACCAAGTAGTGAACTTCCCATGTTATTGTTGCTTTATTTTGGGTTTTGATTATTTGCTTATAACTTACTGGTAAATTATTTTCTACTTATGCCTATTACATTTCTATAGTCTTAATATATTTTGTTGTTCTGATAGAGGTGATGATGAATATTAGTTCCCTTCATAGAACTTCACAGAATGTAATAAGATGCAAGGAGGAATTTTCTTTTTCTCCAACATATACAAAATAAGTGCTGCTACTTTACTTTTTGAATTTTAAATGTCTTTCCCTGTCAGATCCTCAACCCAATGTTTATTGTACTTTGGCATGAAATTTAGTTTTGCATACTGCACAGTTCTGTGCTGTGAAAGAAACCCTGGACCTCTGTCCATCAACAATGTTTTCATGTTCTGCCATCTCAAAAGCAGCAAGACAGCAAGAAATCTGAAACTTTCGAGGCTTTAAATGTTACCAGGGGAATACTTTTACCTTTATGGAAAAAGAATGGTGGATTAGACTTGAACTTGGTGGTTTTGTTGTGCAGCTTGTACTTTTAAAAAATAATTTTAATGTGTTGCTCAAAATTCTGTATGCCCATTTATTGTGAAGAGCATGAATTTTTTTGTAAGCAGATCTTCTCTTCAAGTCAGAATTGAAACTGAAACCTAATGGTTATTTCAAATGCCACATTGGAGTAGCTGCTAACATTTATTTTAAATTCCAG